CATTATTATAGCATATTATAGTATATATACAGCACTATAATCAATCATTTAATAAATATTTATTGAGCAATTGCTAGCTACCAGGCAACATGGAGATGCTACATCTATAAGGATAAGAGATACTGCTCTTGCCCCAGCTCTCTGGAACTCAGAGGGTATTTAGGAAGAAAACATTAACAACACGACCATGTGCTTAGAGTCTGGAGTGAGTGCTATGGAAGAGAAATATGAGGAGTTATGTGAGTGTGAGGAATTGGGGGTCTGGCCTCCTCTGGGGTCTTAGAAAGCCACTTTCCTGAGGAGGAAGCCTGGGCGCTGAGATGTCTAGATGAGCAGGTGTTTACCAGAAGCCATGCATTGAGTCTGTTGAGAATTTGGAAATTAGAAACACCAGCGCTGAGAGTTCTGCCAGGTGTGGACGAGTAGGGAGGGCCTTCAACAGTTAACCAGTTTCACAAAGTTCAATCCTCATTCTCCAACCCAACAAAAAGGTGGAAGCCCAGGTGAAGGTTCAAGGAACTTTATCAACACAGGATGTAACAAACTAGAGACACTGAGATCCCAGTATTGATGCTTTTTTTTTTTCCCCCTTGAAAGTAGCAGAAAGGTTGAGAGCAAGAAGCACAAAACTCTCAGAGAAAGCTCATTTTTTATGTCTTTTTTTTTTTTGGTGGGGTGGATACCAGGGATTGAACTCAAGGGCACTCAACCACTGAGCCACATTCCAGCCCTATTTTTTGTTTTATTTAGAGACAGGTACTCACTGAGTTGCTTAGTGTCTCTCTTTTGCTGAGGCTGGCTTTGATCTCATATCCTCCTGCCTCAGCCTTCAAGTCAGTCACTGGGATTACAGGTGTGCACCTCCGCATCCAGATTTTTATGTTTTGTCTGTTCTTTCCTTCCCTTTTTTCTGTCCTGGCTGCTTCTGTCCCTTTGTGCGGTCCACTACCCACTTCATTGTTCAGTCTTACAGATTAGCAGCACCTCTACCCATCTTGACTATAAATACCTGTATAAATACCAATAAGCACCTGTTTTCATGTTGAATAGTTATTATCTTCTCTGTCCTCCAATGTAAAAATGTATGGACATTGCAGAACATACTGGATCAAAACACCAAGCTTCCACGCGCACACCCACATTCACACACTAAATTCGATGGATTGTGGCTGCTAAGTCGGCATCAAATAATTTTCTAGGGTTCAGCACTTACAAGCGTCATGCAAATTCTAGTAGGCTCAGCTGCCTCTATATGTTTATGGAAATCGGCCTCGAGGGTCTTTCTTCTTCAGTAAACAACAGGATCAGCACAGCATTACCAACTAGTTTTTTTAAGAACAAAGAGTTGGGATTCTCGCTGTAGTAGTTCTTAAGTAAAACTGAGACTCCTTTGCCCCTGGTTGCTCAAATTCAGCCATCCCCAGGAGGCAAGGACATCAACAATTTGGCAGAGGCAGGGGGAATAAAAAGAAAGCCAGCGAAATCCAAGTGAAGTTTCAACACAGTGGTTGCCTTGGAACCCACTTGGAGGTTAACTTGCTCCTGTTTCCCCAGCATTTCCTTGCTTTAGGAAATTTGTACTCCAATTCCAGTCTAGGTTCCAACTCCAATAAAACAGCGATAAGATGCCCTGGAGGGTTGCAGGCAAGTCTGTGGGTGCAAGCAGGGTCAGATCACATCATGGGAACGAGATGGGCTCAAGCGTTGACTGTTTTCCACTTGCCAACAGTGGGACGTTTGTTCTCGTGGTTAAATAATTAAATAGGCAGTTTGTATTTATTTAACATACAGACTGTAGCCAATTCCTGCTGACAGCTACCAAAATAACCCCACATTTCCTAGCTCTGAATGGCTCAGAGCGGGGGCATTGCCGCGGAGCAAAACTCTCCTCCAAGTCTCCAAACACCTTTTTTCATCATTTCAAACAATAAATCAATTCACAGCATGTGATCCAAAAACAACAGCCCACTTTTATTGGATGGGATTCCATTCTCTGAGGCACTTCCCACTACCAGCACTTGAGCTGTCTTGAAACTATGCTGGGCTGGGAGTGGAATAAAATATCTTAACTTTTTCTCATTTTCACTTGTCCATTTAAAGAAAGTGGATTTTGACCTAATGACTTAAAAAAAAAAAAAAAGAAAAAGAAAAGACCAAATATTGGAGTAAAACGTAGGGATCTGGGAAGAAGCAGGCCAATCAGGAAGTCAGGGGGAAAAAAATATTTAAATGTCAGAGTGAGTAGTCTGGGGAGATTCGGAACAATCCAGGATAAAGGAGAAGTTCTAGATGGTTCCTTGAGGTGGCAACAGGGGACAGGAAAAAAAAACAGAACATCCAATGACAGCATCTTCTTAACCAGTGATAGGTAATGCTAATACTGGGACCATTAATCCTTATTCATGCTTTTACCTTGTCATATGTGAATACATGGAATGGATGTGGAGACAGACCCTTCTTGACGTTTCCTGGAGCTCACAGAATTTAAGGTACCCAGAGAGTGTGTGCTGAGGAGGAGGACCTCAGCATGGGAGGGAGAAGGAGGCTATTCACTCTGCCCTCTTCAGGCAGCATCATGAGATATAGGAGTAGGATTACACCATGTGATCTTCCATCCGGTGCTCCCACTGCAGTGGCCCTCAAAGGACCAACCCAGGGAACAAGCAATCAAGGCAGGAGGCAGGAGGGAAGACCCGAGGATAAGAAGAAAGAAGACTTAATGCTTGTCCTTTATCCCCAGTTCCTCTGTAGCTTCTTAACCCATCTCTCAGCTATGCTATTGGAGTGGTTCTACAGACCATGAAGGCCTCTGTTGGAATTGCCCCAAAGAAAGCACAGTGAGTCAAAATGGCTCGACTTGGTCTTGTTCAACTTTAGCAGCACGACAGATGTTGGTCCCCAAGGTCACTATAGCCATTCACACAAGGAAGATGGAGGCCAACTTTTAGGGTGGCACAGCGCTTCCTCTGAGATCCTGGATCTGAAGTAGGAGGACTCTCTCCTTCTGTCTGTGGTTTAAAATGACCTGAATTCCATTTCTTCACCTGTGAAATGTGTCAGCTCCACACACACACACTTGTCACCATGTTATCCTGAGGGACACGGAAATGGAAGTGCTCCTTGCTCTGCTTCTCATCATTGGTCATGTTCTAGGATCAACCTGGAGGCACTGTGGAGTTCATTTCCATCCTTTCTAAAGATCAGAGGTGGATCCAAACTCAGAAGTAGGATTGTTGTTATCGTTGTTGTTTTAAATGATCACTTTGCCCCTTACTTTCTCACTTGTTCAAGGAGGAAATTGTTCTGTATGATTCCCAAGGTTACTTTCAACCTTTAAAAAAAAAAAATGGCAGACGGTCCCCTCAAGAATGTCAATCAAAAACTCTTGACCTACTTTGCAGTGAGAGGCAACATCTAAGTAAACCTCAGCTGAGTCTCTATTGGCTCAGATGTGGAAGCACATATTTTGGGCTGGGATGACTCTGAAGCTGGAGCGGAGACCTTGAAACGCTTCTAAAGGATAATAAAATGAGTGTGGAGAACAGAGGCGTGTATCACACCAGCTCATGGTCCAGGGCCATATTCTGCGCAGGCTAGTCCAGCTATTCACAGCTAAGAAATGCTGCTGATCACAGTCTAAGCCTCCCTGATCACAGCTTCAGGTCTCCATTCAGATGCGTGATCCGCTGTGCTTCTGTAATGAACTCCCTGGACCACAAATCAGGTTACCAGCACCAGAAGCAATGGAGTTGCTGCCTTGTAGACTTTTTGGAAGGTTCTTTGCCTCTGCCTGCATCTTCTATCTTCTCTTCTCCTCCTTCTTGCTATATCTACTAGGACCCCTACATTCCTCTCCATCATCTCTTTTCTCTCCTACCACTCTCTCCTTCCTCCATTTTTTTCCTGCCCCAGAGCCTCAGCTGATGGCAGACCCTACTTTCTGTACTTCTAAGCTCCATCAGGATCAACACAGCCAGCTTTGCTCACACATCTTATCCCCTTCTCCTTGGCTGTCTCACTCCAAGTTCCCCCCAAGGAGGACTTGGGGACTCCATCCAAATTGGGACTGAATACGATCAACATGGAACCCCAAAATCCAAGCCACATCTCCGGTAGTACACTACGCACCAGCTTGATGTTCAGCAGGTCATAGAAGCCGACATGAAGCTCTTATTAGGATGTGACATTTTTATTCCCTGGGGAGACTTAGTCTCTGTCCACTGGATCTCTTGGCATCCATAATACAGAGCAGAACAAACGAACAGATCACAGGTTAGAGGTACTGAAAAGAAGGTAAGGAGATGGGGCTGGGGCTGTGGCTCAGTGGTGGAGCACTCGCCTAGCATGCGGGAGGCACTGGGTTTGATCCTTGGCACCACAGAAAAATAAAAATAAAGGTTATTTTAAAAAAAAAAGTGGGAGGAAATAGCAAGTTAATGTAAATGCTGGGGGAGAGGTGAGAGCTGAATGAGGCGGAGACCCATTTTGTGGGGAGGAGGTCGTGAGTGGAACATGGGGGAACAAGAGAGCTGGGGAGATTACAAGGAGACGTGGAAAGTGTTGCTGCGTTCTCAGAATTTCATACCTTTTTAAAAGACATGCAAATCAGAGGCTAAATCCCTTCTTGATTACTTTGACTAATCTATAAGTCTTTGAATGCAGGTTTCTGCAGAAACTGAGCCACGTGAGCCAAGGAGGGATATAGGTAACACACTGGGGATTCCATAACTATTGTAGGAACTTCTTGGGGTGTGTGTTGGGGGAGGGGGGGTACTGGGGATTGAACCAAGTCCTCAGCTGTGCTAGGCAAATGCTCTATCACTGAGCTACATCCCCAGCCCGTTTAGATTTATTTTTTTTTTTTTAAATTTTGAGACAAGGTCTCACTAAGTTGCTGAGGCTGGCCTTGAGTTTGCAATCCTCCTGCCTTAACCTCCCAAGTCGCTGGGATTACTGGTAGGCCCCCCTGTACCCAGCAATTCTAGACATTTCTGAATTGTCTTTGGATTCAGCTCAGACCACTGAGGTTTAGAAAAGGTGCTAAATCTCAGGAATTCCCCACCCCCATACTCTCTCATTAGACAAGGTTTTGAAAGAGCACTCGTACCAGCAGAACTGAAGCGATGTGAGTGGCAGCCCTGTGCGCTTGTTATTTGACACATCTTCCTCCATGAGAGGCTAATGCTTCAGCTGTGTCGGGGCTTACCTGAAGCCATCAGGAGAAGATCAAAAATGTAAAACTCTATGGTAATGCCCTACGCTGAAAGGAAGTGGATTTAGAGCTAGAAGAAGACTTACCTCTCACCGTAGTTCGCACAGCATTCAGAAATCCAGGTAATGTTGTTTTTTTTTTTTTTTTTAAAGCCGAATCTGCAATTGTGTTCAATGCTGCCATCTGTTCAGTTTGATAATAAAACAGGCTACTCTGAAGACAGCCTCTAGTCATTAGGGAAGTCTAGCTCTGCAGGATAAAATTCCTCTGTAGAATAACAATATTTTATAGTTATATAATTTCTTTCATCCAAGAATTTCAAAGCATTTTGAAATAGTTTGGGTTGACAAGAAACGTAATATTTCATAAATTAAGCTACATATGTCGATACTTTGCCTGGGGACAGAAATAAATTATTCCATGGAAGGGATTATTGATATCTAATTCTATTCCACTTACACTGTAGAAGTATCATTATTCATAATTATAGCAGCTATCACTTATGGAAAAAAGAATGCTTATTCCATTAAGTATTGTGTGAAGTGTTGACAAGTATTATCTCATTTAATCTTCATATGACTCTGATTCAAAGCCTAGTCTCATTCTAGAATGATTCTATGAAAAACTGACTACTTTTCCTTCCTTCACAGATGATGTAATTAGATTCAGAGAAGTTAAGTAACTTGTCCATTGTCACATAGCTAGTACAAGTGGTAGAGTTTCTTTTGGTGGGTGAGGACCATTTAGTAAGTATTGTGAGGGTCAGTTTCCTTTTCAAATGTCATCTGCAAGGTCTGTCATGCAACTCTTAGCTCAAGCAGAAATGCTTCTTAATATGGAACAGTGTGGCTGGAATCTTTGCCAGTTCTTGAACATTCTAAGGGCTCCATTGTCCCTAAATACTCTATGTTAAAAAAAAAAAAAAAAAAAAAAAAACCTCAAGGGTGACTTTAAAAGGATACCAAATGACAGTTCTCCAGAACTACACCTACAGCACATACCATGGCCATGAACATCAGGATTTGAAGACCTAAGTCCAATATCTTTCTGATTTGTCTTTTTGCTTCTTGTTTTGTCCTCCTCCAATTGAATATCGACTGAGTATTTACAGTGGTTGTTTTAAAGTGTAAAACCAAGTCAATCGCCTTGCTTAAATCACCCAATGCCATTGGGCAGGGTGGCATATGCCCGTAATTCCAGCAACTTAGGAGGCTGAGGCAGGAGGATCGGAAGTTCAAAGCCAGCCTAAGCAACTTAGAGAGGTTCTAAGCAACCTAGTGAGACCCTGTCTCTAAATAAAATATGAAAAGGACTGAGGATGTGGCTCCGTGGTTGAGCATCCCTGGGTTCAATCCTCAGGGCCAAAAAAACAACAGATCACCCAATGCCTCTCACCACCATTAGGAAAAAACCACCTTGGCTGAATGGACTGCAGGCTCTGGCCCCACTTACCAGCATCTGAGCTCACCTTGGGCCAGCTCTTCCTGGACCACTTCAGTTCTTTTCAGTCCTTAAACACACCAAGTACTTCTTGGCTTTGTTCTCTCACCTCCTGCTGAAGCTTCTCGCCACAGCTCATCTCCGGTCACTTTCCCTAGCTTTCAGTTCTCAAATATTGTGACTGGTCTTCAGCCACCTGCACACACAAACACAAACAAACACACAGCACGCCTATATTAGGTCCTTACTACATTTCCCTCAGCACCCTGTGTTTTCCTTCATAGCTCTTATCTGTCTTTAGAATCTTCTGGTCTTTGAGTACCCCTCTGTCTATTGGACAGTGGCGCCCATGGAGATGGCTCCATATCTCTGCTCACCATTGTGCTCCCAGTGCCTGCCACGTCGACTGACTGCAGAAGATGCCGGTGAAAAATATTTGACAAGGTGAGCAACTCTAGATTTGATTCCTCACCCACCACCTCATTCCTATGCAACCTTTGGAAATAGATTCAAACTGGGTCTCAGTCTTTTTGTCTATTAAATGGAGCTGTCTCTACCTGTATCACAGGATCTATGTGGAGAAGATCTACGATAATGCTGATTAAGGGCTTCATAAACCTTTGAACTTTGTATTATAAAATTCCAAACTTGGGATTCATTATCACCCCTCTGGAACAAAGTGCATCTCCTTCTGTCTACTGGGATCGACTTGCAGAAGGAGCAAACTTTGGACAGTATGTGGGCAATTTTCACAAGGTTTCAACTGGGCCCTACGCCCAGGACATTCAGAGGTTCACCGGGAGTGACATAAGCCCAGCTCGTCCCCTGAGGAGTTATCAGTCCCTCAACCAAGCCAGGATGCTGATTGTGCCTATTCATGCTTCATAAACTCAGGCATCTCTTTTTGGCCTTTTGTCTTCTTTCCTAACTGACTTCTCCCCAAAGCACCAAACCAAAGGGAAACCCACAATGGCATGTGTATCCACACAGCACAGGCCCTTGGAGGATCATGGTGACTTGTGATTATTTTAGGGGACAAAAAAATTGGAAAAGCTCTTCGGGTACCTAACACACCCTGCTCTCATCTGCACCCAGAACAGACACTCCTCTCTAACCTGCTGTTGATGTTTGGAAGGAAAGGGTGGCATCTGATACGACTGCCTTGGAACCTGTTTCAGGGGTTTGGGTGAAAACTATCTTCCTTCTCATTGATCCAAATGTGGAAAAGCAGTGATAGCAATAACTATGTTAAAGGAAGGTCAGGATGAACACAGGTCACCTGCCAGGGTAGTGGTCAGAATGGACAGAGATCTTCCATGGAGACCAATGTCTATGGTGTATGCTTTCTTTTTACTTCCTTTGATTTACCAGTGATCAGAATGATAACCTGGAGATTAGCATCCTTGGAACCTTCTGGAAATTCTCTAATTTTCTCCAAATGTTGAGGCAGACAGGGTATCTCCACGCAGATGAGATCCATAGCTCTTTGTTTTTCCATGGGTTGGTCTCTGAAATAAATGAGCCAATAATGGATGCTGTAAGTGACATTTCAAAATCAATGGCCTTTGAATTCTTACCTGGTGTTGAAGAGCTGGAAGGCATTTTTCCAAACTTTCAGAAGAGGCTCGGGCTCTGTCAGATACTGGGAATCTGGCTTTTCCCCCCATCAATGTGAAATCACACCCCATCACCAGTCCCTGCTCCCGAACCCCAGGGTCTCTTGCTTGGACTACTCTCACAGACTCCTAAGTGGACTCCTGGCTTCTGTTCTGGTCCCTGCTCCACATCACCCCCAATCCATCTCCACCCTTCACCCAGAGTGGCCTTTCTGAGATAAAACTAATCATGTGACTTCCTGCTTAAAGCCCTTATCTCATCCCCATGGTCCTGGGGGGCAAGTTCACTGCATCACATGGCCCAAGAGGCCTGCCTTCCTCGCCAGCATCACCTTGGGAGTTCTTTCTCCTCTCACCACCCACCCCTGCCCACCTCCCATGGCCCCGCCATGCTGTTCTTGCCCAGCTTCTGAATGGGCTGTGCTCTCCAGGCTCACGTCTTTGTGTGTCCATACATACTACTTTTTATCCTGAGTATTTCCCTTGAGCTCCTACACTGTGCCTAACACTGTACTTGGAAATGAGGAAGGCAGAATTCTTACCCTGAGAAACTCCAGTCCACCTATGGGACCGCTCCAGCAGGTGGGTGAACCAATAGTTAAAGCTAGAGTGTTAAAGAAGAGAAAAACGAACACAGGTGATAGGTTGACCAGGAGGGAGTCGAGGGAAACTTCGTAGGAAGGGGAAAATATACCAATAACAATACCTCACATTTATTGAGCATTTACTTGGTCTGTGCTAAAAGCTTTATGAACATTGCTTATTGAATTCTTAAAACAACCCTATGAGAGGGATACTATTAGGAAAAAGGAGAAAGTAATGGTTGAACTCATGAGCCAGACCTTAGTTTGAACCCTGTAGCTACCTGTGACCATGAGGAAGTTATGTGACTCCCAGGGCATTTCTGTTATCTTTGAAGTGGAGAAAGAATTTTTCTAAAAAAAAAAAAAATCAATCTTATCTTACTAAAAGAGAAATATATATATGTAAATACCTAGAATAAACCCTGGTGATAAGCAAGTGTCTATTAAAAGTTGGCTATTAGATATGCTATTTTTTCTTTTCTTTTTTGTTTACAGACAAGCAAATTTCCCAAGGGGACATAACTAGAAAATGCAGAGCCTGAATTCAAACCTGTCAGTCTCTCTCGAACCCAGCCTCTAAGCCAGGATGTTTCTCCCGAGTCTGAGTTGGGATGGATAAAACTTTGTGATGAGTATTTGAAAGTAGGTCTCAAAGCAGGAGTCCTGAGGAAAAGGTTGTGTTGACACAGCGCCAACCTGGGAACAGATCCTTGGAACTGGAAATTGAACAATGGGGAGCCCTCCCCAGAAAAGAAAGCGCTGAGTCTGACATGGTGCAGGTTGGTGGTCCACACTGGTGAGGAAACAGCGGCAATTGACGCCATGCCCAAGGCTGGCTGGGGGCAGCTGAGACGGCCTCGGGACTGCAGAACAACTCCCTCACCCTCCCAGGCTTTGGATCTACCTTGAATGCAAAACGGCTCTCTTCCTAAACACCAGATTGAGCGCTCTCTCTCTCTCTCTCTCTCTCTCTCTCTCTCTCTCTCTCTCTCTCTCTCTCTCTCTTCTTGCTGGCTGTAATAGGAGCTGGAGGGGTGCATCAAAGAAGCAGCAGAGCTGGGGATCCATTCTGCAAACTTTAATTGCTCCAAAGGAGCAGTTATGGTATGTATACATAAAAGACCCTAATTATCTGTTAGCCCAATAAAACAAGTTTCAAAGGGCCCACAAAGACCAATTCACCAAATGTGTAATCTGTAATTACAAATCATCCACTGGGCAATCAATAGATGTTTTAAACCATTAGCTGAAACTTTATGTGCTTTTATGGGAGATAGTTTTCCTGAGTTCTTTTATGTTTGTTTTTAAACTGAAACATGAAAGGAAGGAAGGAAGGAAGGAGGGAAGGAAAGAAGGAAGGAAGGAAGGAAGGAAGGAAGGAAGGAAGGAAGGAAGGAAGGAAGGAAGGA